CTACTGCTCTGCACATGAGTGAGAAAAAAACTCCCAAAGCTGGGAAAGACCACCAGAAAGGAGCAGTGCAAACAATTATCAGAACTCACACAAAGCGGAGAACAGACTGCGTTCCCACTAGCAGAGTAGAAAAGACTCACACAACAGGAGGTCTGAGGGAGAAGCCTCAGTATTGGACCTAGACTAAAAGCCAGTCTAGACCCTCCCTGCTTCCCACTAACACAAAGCTGAAATGCAGGCTTCTGACCAATCCTTTAGAGTGAGTTAACTACAAGCAAAAAATAAATTCCAGCCGAAATCGGTTTGGCTCAGTAGATAGAGCGTCGGCCTGCGGACTCAAGGGTCCCAGGTTCGATTCCGGTCAAGGGCATGTACCTGGGTTGCGGGCACATCCCCAGTAGGAGATGTGCAGGAGGCAATGGAGCCAGAAATGGCAGGGATGATGGAATTAGTAGACAAGGATGTTGAGACAACTATTATGAGTTTGCTCTATATGTTCAAGAAGATAGAAGACAATAAGGCCATGATGAAATGGCAAACAAAGATATAAAAAAAGACACAGTGAAATATATGGAGATGAAAAATATATTATCTGAAATGAAAAAAAATACTTTGGAGAATTAACAATTATGTAGTGCAGAAGAAAATTCAGTAAGTGAAAATAGAGTAATGAAACTATCCAAATGAGGGGAAAAGAAAAAAAAAAGAGCTCCTCTGGGGTGAAATGACTGCTTAAGTTTGGAAGCTCAAGAAAGTCCCAAGAAGATAGAAGACAATAAGGCCATGATGAAATGGCAAACAAAGATATTAAAAAAGACACAGTGAAATATATGGAGATGAAAAATATATTATCTGAAATGAAAAAAAATACTTTGGAGAATTAACAATTAATTATGTAGTGCAGAAGGAAAAATTGGTAAGTGAAAATAGAGTAATGAAACTATCCAAATGAGGGGAAAAGGAAAAAAAAAAAGAGCTCCTCTGGGGTGAAATAACTGCTTACGTTTGGAAGCTCAAGAAAGTCCCAATGCAGGACTCCGGCCACATCTCCCTGCCTGGCTTCCCTTCCCAGCCTCTCCTCAGGCACCTCAAGTCTGTGCCTCTTTCCCTGCGCCAAAGAAGCCTGGGACTCATCTCTGCTTCTACAGTCTACTCAGAATGTGACTGTAAATGCACACAACTCTAAAGGAAGATTAAAAGTGGGTCTCAAGCCCTGGCTGGATTGGCTCAGTGGATAGAGCATTGGCCTGAGAACTGAAGGGTCCCAGATTCTATTCCAGTCAAGGGCACATGCCCAGGTTGCAGGCTCGATCCCCAGCATGGGCCATGCAGGAGGCAGCCAATCGATGATTCTCTTTCATCATTATGTTTCTATCTCTCTCTGCCTCTCCCTCTCCCTTCCTCTCTGAAATCAATAAAAACATATTTGGGGGAAAAAATGTGGGTCTCAAAATGGTAAAAGTCCAGAGTCAACAGTTTCAGATCAGTTCCAAAGAAGGCAAACCACTGTTTACTGCTGATGAAAGTGAAGTTGTGGTTGGTGCTGATAGACATCGAGTAACTGGGCCTGAAGGGGCTCTTTTTGAACTTTCAGTGGAAACACCTCTCGTTAGAGCTGACCCATTTCAGGAGTTGAGATTAGAATCTCCCACACGAAGTCTAAGCATGGATGCCCCAAAGGTGTTCATATGAAAGCTCATGCTGGGAAAATCAAGGCCCTTTCTCAAATGGACATCCTTTTTCATAGTAATGATGGGATGCTTGTGCTTGAAACTGAAACTGTATGTTTACCCAAGTTGGTTCAGGGAACTCAGGGTCCTGCTGGCAGCTCACAAAGACTCTGTGAAATTTGTGTGTGTCCAGATGGGAAGCTTTACCTGTCTGTGGCTGGCGCAAGTACCACATGATATGAAAACAGTCACATCTGTCCCTAAACCACCCACATCTTCCATGGAGAATCTGCCTTGTTTCAGTGAACTTTAGAGATCTTAAGCCTTCACACTTAGAGCAACTTGACACCCTGGAAAACTGAGGTGGCAGATGGAAGTAGGACACACTTTCAAAAGGAACTCAAAAAGGAAACTGTGCCAATGAAAGGGTTCAGATGAATGGTGTGTGGGTGGTAGATGCCAAAGCCAAAGAAATAACAAAAGAATGTGTTCATTCTACTAGATTGATTTTCATCAGGACCTTGTGAATTTTCTTTTCCTTTCTTGTACATGTCAGTCTACAAGGAAATAGTGAATTGCTGTGTGGAATTAATTTATGATGTTCAAGTGTGGATATCTAATTCCCCCAAAAGTAGCATTGGTCAATACTAAGATGCCCCAAAGTTCTATGATATGTTTTCATTATATCACTCAAACCTGTGAGTACTCTCTTAATCTTAATGCAAAGTATGTAAAGTTTCACAAGAAAATATATTTTAAATGGACTTTAAGGTTGATCTGATTTTCAATATGTAGTCAAATAAATAAATTATACAAAATTAATCATGATTTCTTTATAGTCAATGAGCAAAAATCAACCTATATCCCCCCCCCAAAAAAAAGACTAAACATAAGTGTATGGAGCATCAATGACCTGTGCAATCATCAATCATAGGTATAATTAGAGTCCTAGGAGGAAAGGGTTGGAGCAGGGGAAGGTAAACAGAAAAAAATTAATTTGAAGAATTGAGGACCACATTTCTGCAAATTTGATGAAAACTATAAACCCATAGGCACAAGTCCCACACAATAAGTCTAATGAAAACTAGGTGAAGATACCTCAATAAAGTTTCTTAAACCCAATGGTAAAGAAAAATCTTAAAAGCAACCAGAGGTAAAAATAGAAAATATATACAAAGGAGAAAAAAAATGACAGCAAATGTTTTGTGGGAACCTATGCAAGCAGAAGACAGTGGAGAGGTATTATTAAAGTACTAAAAGAAAGTACCAAAAATATTCAGAAAGGTCACAGGATACAAGATAAGCACACAAAAAAAATTAATAATATTTCTATATACAAGCAATGAAAACATGGACACCAAAATTTAAACCATTTTAACCACTCAAAAATTAAAATACTTGCATGTAAATCTAACAAATACAGGACTTGTATACTCAAAATTACAAAACACGTAAAAGAAATTAAAGAATATATAAATAAATAGAGGGCCATATACTATTCATGGACTGGAACATAACACAGTAAAGATGTCATTTCTACTCAAATGGATATACAGGTTTAATGCAATTTCTATCAAAATCGCAGCAAGAACCTTTTGTAGATACAGAAGAGATTATTTTAAAATTTATGTATAAAAACAAAGAACTAGAAGAGTGAAAACAATTTTGAAAAAGAATAAGGTGGGGGAAAAGTAGTTTACCTAATTTCAAGACTTATTACAGTATATAGATAGGATAATTAAGACTGTGTGGTACTGGGTAGAAGGATAGATACCCAAAACAGAATAAAAAGCTGGGAGGGGCTATTATTCTGCCTACTACACATACTATGGAATACTACTCCGAAATAAAAAGGAATGAACTATTTTTTTAAAAATATATATTTTATTGACTTTCCACAGAGAGGAAGGGAGAGAGACAGAGAGCCAGAAACATCAATGAGAGAGAAACATCGATCAGCTGCCTCCTGCACACCTCCCACTGGGGATGTGCGCGCAACCAAGGCACATGCCCCCGACCAGAATCGAACCCGGGACCCCTCAGTCCACAGGCCAACGCTCCATCCACTGAGTGAAACCGGCCTTGGCAAGAATGAACTATTTGATATTTGCAAAAACGTGGACAAATTTTTAGAGAATTAAGCTGAGTAAAAAAAGGCAATCCCAAAAGGTTTCAAACTCTATGATTCCAATTACATAGTATTCCTGAAGTGACAAACTCACAGAAATGGAAACTAGGACAGTGGTCACTAGGGGTTATAGAAAGGATGTGACAGGAGAAAATCGGATGTGACTATACAACGAATCCTTGTGTGCCCGCCATGTTCCGCGCCACCCCCTGGTGGTCAGCACACGTCATAGCGAGCGATGGAACTCCCACTCTCCCAGTCGAATTCCCAAGGGGACACTGTGCATATTAGCCTTTTATATATATAGATGTGCATCTGCAATTATCTCAAAATAAAAGGTTTAATTTAAATAAAAAGCAGAGGGAATAATTTCCAACAAATGTTATGAGGCCAAAATTAACTTGATACCAAAGACATTATGAGAAAAGAGAATGAGAGATGAGCATTCTTCATACACACACAAAGCTGAAGCCTGAGGATCTGTATTCCCCCAAATCAAGATTTCCTTCAGAAATCAAACTATTAGCCCTAACCGGTTTGGCTCAGTGGATAGAGCATCGGCCTGCGGACTGAAGGGTCCCAGGTTTGATTCCAGTCAAGGGCATGTACCTTGGTTGCAGGCACATCCCCAGTAGGGGGAGTGCAGAAGGCAGCTGATCGATGTTTGTCTCTCATTGATGTTTCTAACTCTCTATCCCTCTCCCTTCCTCTCTGTAAAAAAATCAATAAAATATATTAAAAATAAAAAAGAAATCAAACTATTAGGCGACTTTAAGGAACCCTCTTCCAATGGCTAAATGAAATTCGTAAAGAAAGTTTTTCAGTGAAAACCATCTGTAAATTAAACTGTGTAACCTTATGTTTCTAAGCTGCATGCGAAGGCTGGCGAAGAGTCGAGTTTGTTTTGGATGGGGTTGAATCGACATGGAACCCTCAGGTGGTTTGAGGTCTGCAGTGGGCAGGTCCACTACCACCAGTAGGTAGGCGTAGACTGATGTAACTGGAGCAGGGAGAGTTTTAAAGGACCAGCCTTGGATGAGACAAACTTTGCAAATAAAGTACTAGATGGGACAGTCATTGCGTCGCCCACCCCTGGAGTCTTCTCCTGTCTTTCTGAGGGCCATGAGCCAGAAATCCACAAGGCTGGCTGTTTGCAGGGACTTGCTGCTCCCTCACTTTCTCCTCCCATTCTTTGTTTTCAGGGGGAGCTGACCATGACCAGCGACATGGAGAACTTAGAGAACAACCTGTACCTAGACACCGTGCCAGAGTCCTGGGCCAGACGAGCCTACCCTTCCACGGCAGGCCTGGCCGTCTGGTTTTTGGACCTCCTCAGCCGAATCAAGGAGTTGGAGGCTTGGGTAGGCGACTTTGCAATGCCATCCACGGTGTGGCTGACAGGCTTCTTCAACCCCCAGTCCTTCCTGACCGCCATAATGCAGTCCATGGCCCGCAAGAATGAGTGGCCACTAGACCAGATGGCCCTGCAATGTGACGTGACGAAGAAGAATAGAGAGGATTTCAGAAGCCCTCCTCGGGAAGGAGCCTATGTCCATGGCCTCTTCATGGAAGGTGCTCGCTGGGATGCACAGGTAAATCCTGGGAGGAGCCATGGGACACCCTCTATGGGCTGGTTAAATACACACTGCCTCCCATAAAGTGTGCTTACTAAAAGGGATATTCCTGAATCTTCTGACCTAGATAATCTTTCCTTGAGGTTGACAAGCCATTTGAGGCAACCAGGGATGGTGCAGAGAGCACAGGCTTGGCAGAGGGAGGGGAGTGGGTAAAAGCAACAGCTCTGATCCCTATTCTATGGATGAAGATGGAGCATAGCTTCCTCTGCTCAAAAGTCAAAATGCTCTAGAGGGTGGATGAGGTCACATCAGAAACTAGAACAGGATATAGCCAAAGGCTTACAATCGAAAGCATTTGCTGACACCTGTGTCTTACTCATCTTTACCCCAGCACCTAGCATGACATCTGGCAAATAGTTACATTCAATATGCTTATGAAATGAATGAATCAAAAAATAAAACTCAGGTAGACTCAAAGGGATTAATTTGTATATGAAAAATTTCAGCTTTTGGAACTCTCCTTGCAAAAGTGATTTAGGCCAGAAAGCAGCATCAGAGGCATCCCACTGCAGGTTGCTGAAAGAATCTGTGAGGGGAAGGCATAGAGGCAGCCAGCCCTTCCCAGTCTCATCTCCTGGATCTTCTGCAGGAGCTCTGGGTCTGATCTAACATGGCTTTCCTCACATTCTTGTCCTCAGGCTGGGGTCATTACAGAGGCCAAGCTCAAGGATCTGACACCCCCGATGCCTGTGATGTTCATCAAGGCCATTCCTGCAGACAAGCAAGATTGCCGCAGTGTCTATGCTTGTCCTGTATACAAGACATGTCAGCGGGGACCCACCTACATATGGACTTTCAACCTGAAGACCAAGGAGAACCCATCCAAGTGGGTTCTAGCTGGAGTAGCTTTGCTTCTCCAGATTTAGCTTCCTTTGGAGCCACTGAGAAAACAAGGCTGGGCTGGCGACTGCCCAGAGGGACAGGTGGCTGAGGGTGATCACAGACACATAAAGACAAGAAATCATAAGCACTCACAATTCTGTACAATTCTTTTAGCCTTGTGCTCTGTTAAGGAATGTTTTCTTCATTTGATTACTTATAGGAATAAAGAGATAGGCTCGACTCTTCTGGGCTAGGCTTAGCTCTCTTAAGAAGAGCCGAGCGTAGCCAAAAAAGCCGAACTAACCCCACAGAGCTGAGCCTGAGAAGTGCCTTAAAGGGATGGTGAGCTGGAAGAGTGTGGACCTAGGAGCTAGGGGAGAGGCATTTCCTAACACTGAACCTTCCCTAATAAAGTGATTTATTCTCCAACTGTATCTGGTCCAGGCTTTGAGTTGCAGGGTTATAAATGATCCTTAAGAGCTGAAGAGAAAAAAGCCACAAGCACGAGCCCTGACGCTGTTGCAGGCACCTACGCTCCGCACTCTGGTTCCCAGCTGCTCCACAGAGGAGCACCATTGGCATCACCCGTAAATCAGTCTGCTTGTTAACAAGCTGCCCAGGTGCGTCGTATGCACACTAGGGTTTAAGAAGCATTACTCTGGACCAGGAGCCAACACACATTTTCTGTAAAGGATCATGGTAAATAATTTAGGCTTTGCAGGGCATATAGTTTGGTTGCAACTACTCAATTCTGCCACTGTAGCCCCAAAGCAGTCATAGACAATACAGAAATAAATGGGTTTGGCACAGTCCAACAAGGTTTTCTTTACAAAAGCCGACAGTGGGCCATACTTTGCTGATCACTACTCTAGAGAATATTCCACACATACATTCACACATATTCAATACATTTTATCTAACACCTACTGTTATGGGTGGGGCCTCCAAATGTTATGGGTTCACTTCAGCGAGATAGACCACCGACTCAGAATTTAAATTTAAGAGCCTTTATTAAGCTGGCCAGCTGACCACAGTTACAGCACCCTGCCAAAGCAGAGGCTGAACTGCAGCCCAGACTACAGGAGTTACATTTTATTATTAAATTTTGTGGAGGCCCAGAGAAAAATGTGTCTTTCAAATTCTGGCCCCCCCAATATGGAGGAAACTCTCTTTATTAATACTTTTTCCAGTCCTTTGTCTCCCAAATTTGGAATGAGACTTCCGGGCCTTCCGAGAAAGAAGGCCTGCGTGCTGGGAAGGGGCCATGAGACCATATCTCAAGGCCTGGCCTGATGTCAGTACCTTCCTATCTGTGTGTTTTAGGAACAGACAGCACAGCATGACCCATCTGGCCGAAGCGCCAGATATGCAGCCCAGCACACCTACCATTTGCTAAGAACACACTGTGAATAATAGGCTGTTTCCTGTATCTCTATCATCCATCAGATTATCAGGAGGGAACCAAGAAGAAACCCTTCACTTAAAGCTGTTTAACCTAGAAGTTTCCGAGAATTTACTCTGTGGAATGAATGCGTTTTCACTGGGAGCTCAAGGAGTTCCACAGTTTTAGTGTTTTAAAGAACTCCATGGCTAGGCTTCTTTGGTAAGAAGAATCGAGGAGGGCCCAGTAACCCTTTCAGGATCTCTGCTCCCACATATCGTGCAGAGACTTTTCTGGATTGAGCAGGCATCAGAGTCCCGTGGGAGGGCTTGTTAACAAAGAGATTGCTGGGCCCATCCTTTAGAACAGGGGTGGGCAAACTTTTTGACTCAAGGGCCACAATGGGTTCTTAAACTGGACCGGAGGGCCGGAACAAAAGCATGGATGGAGTGTTTGTGTGAACTAATATAAATTCAAAGTAAACATCATTACATAAAAGGGTACGGTCTTTTTTTTTTTTTTTGGTTTTATTCATTTCAAAGGGACCGGATCCGGTCCGCGGGCCGTAGTTTGCCCACGGCTGCTTTAGAATTTATGGTTCAGTAAGTCTAACAACTTGCCAAAGCAGCTGGTCTGGGAACCACACTTTGAGAACTCCTGATCTAAAACATAAAAAGCCAGCCCTGGCCAGTGTGGCTCAGTTGGCTGAGTGTCAGCCCATGCACTGAAAGGTAGCTGGTTAGATTCCCAGCCAGGGCACATGCCCAGGTTGGGGTTTTGGTTTGGACCTGGGTGCATGTGGGAGGCAACCGATGTTTCTCTCCCTCCCTCTCTCTAAAATCAATAAAAGCATTTAAGTATTTTTTTAAAGCATAAAATCCCACAATCCTACAAATCTGCAGAATCTCATGCCTATTCCATCCTGATTTTCCTGCTTTCTGCCCTGTGGTTCCTGCATCACCTAAAATGAGGCCTTATTCCTCATCTTCCTGATAGAAGGAAGTTAACAAATGCCTCTGGAATACAGGAATTCCAACTTCAGTTTGGTCTCTCCTCTCTTCAACCAGTTATGTAGTTCCCATTGTGTGCCAACAACTACCAGTTTCTTATCTACAGGTTGTGTTTTCAGCTCTGTCCTCCTCAGTAGCATCCTCCTCCCTGACCCTCACACCAAGGACAGAAAAATAAGAGCAGGCCATGGGAAGACCCAGGTGGAAGGAAGGTGGAAGTCTCACTCTCTGGAGCAGGACACTTTGGGGCACTTAACTTTTTGAGACAAGGACAAGTGGGCAGGTTAGATATATGTGTTCATAAAACTCTAGATAGCACTATAAATACTATTGATTTCTTCCTAATACCTACAAATAAAATTAAATAATAAAGACATTTTTAAGGCACAGAACACTTTGGCAAAAATGATAGCCTAAGCCAGTGGTCAGCAAACTCATTAGTCAACAGAGCCAAATATCAACAGTACAACGATTGAAATTTCTTTTGAGAGCCAATTTTTTTAAACTTAAACTATATAGGTAGGTACACTGTTATTAACTTAATTAGGGTACTCCTAAACTGGCCTTTCCTAAAAACGTCCTCAATCTGATTGAGGTATGTTCGCTGAGGTCGACCCCTTCCAACTCTCCCATTCACACTCGTCTTGTATACTTGTTTCGTCTATCTCCTTTCGTTCATCCTCTCTATATGTCCAAACCACCTCAACATACCTTTCTCAATCCTCGACACTACATTTTCTTTCACTCCACAATGTTCCCTAAAATTAACTTAATAAACTTTAAAGTTTTAAGTCTTAGTTAAACTATAGGTACGTTGAATAAAACTTGATATCATACTTAATAACAATATTATTTATTGATAAAATTAAATTCCTTACAATTTACAATATCCATAAAATTAAATCATGACAATGACTGACAAACACTAATGTGAACAATGGCCTTGCATCTCCTTGGAAAGTTTGGGTAAGTCAGGTTTGTATGTTGTTGTTTTTAATTTTAGGCACGATTCCAGGTTCTCATCAATAAGATGACTTCTCAATTTACTCTTGATAAAGTTCATGCTTGTAAATGATTGTTCGCATAAATATGTAGACCCGAATAAGGAAAGAACAGCAAATGCTAGTTTTTTCAGTTGATTATGAGTCAGGAATACTACTCCAGGTGTTAAAAATCAACATATCTCCTTCTCCAGGTCTTTCAAAGCAGACCACTTGTGCTG